ATGATTTAATTAATGACTGAAGATTATACAAAAGGACACAGAAGGCGCTTAAGAGGAAAAATTATCTTGGACAGCGGACAATCTCTCCTTGATTATGAGGTTTTAGAGTGTATTCTGTATTCCGCATATAGTAGAGTTGATGTAAAGCCTATTGCAAAGAAATTAATGAATTACTTTGGCAGTTTAAACAAAGTTTTTAATGCTGAACTGGAAGTATTACGTAGCATAGATGGAGTAAATGATGCAGCAATCTCTGCTATCTTTTGTGTAAAGCAAGCTTTTGTTCGTTCTGCAAGAGAAGAAATGAAGGATTTACCTATAATAAATAACTGGGGAAAATTGCTTGATTACTTAAGGGTCAGCATAGGAAACATCAACAAGGAAAATTTTCGTGTAATCTATATGAACAAAAGGTATCGCCTAATAGCAGAAGATATACAAAATGTGGGCACAATAGATCAGACCCCTCTTTATGTCAGAGAAATCATCAAACGTGCACTTGTAATTGGCTCAACATCCATTGTAATATCACATAATCACCCCAGTGGAGATGCACAACCTTCCAATAGTGACATAACTTTGACTAGACAATTAGCAGAAGCTTGTCAAAGCACGGACATAGAGTTAATAGATCATATTATTATTACATTTAATAACCACTTTAGTTTTAAGGAAAATAAATTGCTATAGCTAAAAATAAGTTTTCCAGGTGCTAGAGTGAAAAAGGTCTTGCACGTAGACGCAGATCTATCTTTTTTTATTGGTAAAGCTATTACAGAAGTCTATAATTTAGTTTAGAATACTATAATTTGAAAAACATTAGACCTCTTTCGAAACCGATTTATGGTAAGAGGAGAAGTGCAAGCGAGCACCGCAGGATGTATTTGAGGAGCGTAGCTCAGCTTCAACAACAAAATATCAGTTTCGAAAGAGGTCTATTACAGCTACATGCATACTTATTTGACTTAAGATAAAATATATTAAATGAAAAGAGTGAGACTTTATGTTAAAGAAGCTTTACTGCAAGACGTTATTTTAGCACTAAATCTGCAACAAAGCCACTACATCCAAAATGTTATGCGGCTTAAGAAACACGACAACGTTTTTCTTTTTAATGGAAAAGATGGGGAGTGGTTAGGCGAAATTATTGACGTACCATGTAAGTCGGTAAAAATTAAAATAAAGAATTGTATTGAGCAGCAGCAATATGAAGAAAATTTATACTTGTATTGTGCTGTTGTAAAAAGCACTGCTTTAAGTAACATAATAAGACAAGCAACAGAAATGGGAGTGACTTGCATTCAATTTATCTTAACAAAACATACAGTAATAAGGGACGTTAACCTTGAAAGAGCAAAATTACAAGCAATTGAAGCAGCAGAACAATGTGGAAGAATGGATATACCAGAGGTTTTATCTCCTATTAATTTTTGTAATTTACCAGATTCTCAGGATAAAAATTTTATTTTATGTGATAAGACCGGTAAAATGCTAAAGGAACCTAATAGACCTCTTTCGAAACCAATTTATGGTGAGAGGAGAAGTGCAAGCAAAGCACCGCAGGATGTACTTGAGGAGAGCTTGACAACAAAATTGCCATCAGAAATTGAGTTTCGAAAGAGGTCAATTGCTCTTATTATTGGCCCTGAGGGTGGTTTCTCAGATGATGAGCTTGACTTTGCCAACAAATTTTGCCAAAAACTAAGCCTGGGAAAAAGAATTCTCAGAGTTGATACTGCAGTTGTTGCTGCACTTGCT